GCAATTATATCTTACAAAGAATGTGAATTTATCATGAGGATGCTTAATGGAATATTAAATGAATGGATTTTCTCAAGTTTTTAATTTCAGAAATTTTGAGTTAAAACAAGTTGCAGCATGCAGGAGCATGTCCCCGCCTTTTGCTCCCTGCCCTGGGCTTGGGAGGACATACTCTGCCCTTCCCTGAAAACGTCATGCTGGGCTGGGAGCAGGTTGCTGCTGCTGTGGCCAGCCTGCAATGCCTTATTCCTTATGTGTAGCAGCCGAGAGTGAACAGAATGGGCTATTAGTGAGTGACATTTTTCTCATCACGGGCCCTTCAGACACCAGATGTGCCAGACACCAGAGGGGACCGATGACTCCATACCTTTATTTCTATTAAAGAGGCATCCCTCCAAAGGGGGGACAAAAAAGGAGAGATTGCCAGAAATAGGGAGAAAAGAGGCTGAGCTTAGGAATAAAGGGGTGCCCATCTGGGGCTCACCTCATGTTCCAAGCTTCAGCTATCAGGCTATCTGCCTCTGGCATCATTGGGATGACACAGCTAGATCACAGGCACAATGTCAGATTTTCTTCAACCCAGCTCTGTCCAGCATTGGGACTCTTCAATGAGAAAAACTCCTGAATGGTACCCAGTATGTGTTTGCTGGGGCAAGGCCAGCCAAACAGCCTCTAGTGCAGGGGGAAGGAGACTGCCCTCATCTCTGGTTATCACTGAGTGAAGGACATTCTTACCAACTCCTGGGCAATGAGGATGAACACTACGGAGCTCAGAGCTCACTGTGGAAAACAGCGTTGCTGGAACATGACCATGGGGAGAAGGAAAGGACCCCCATTGATGACACACATTACTTCTGCACTTGACTTGTTTAATAAAATGATACAAATCCTCTCATTTTACTAATTGTTGGTGACCTTCATCTCACCCTGCTACCATAATAAAGAGCAATGGAAAGAACCTGGAATTGGGGGATCATGTTCTGGGCTGATGCCTCTGGATCCCAGAAAGCCAGACTTTGCAGAGGCTGCAGAAGAAATTCTAAGTATTGGGCAATGAATTTCACTGGAACTTAATGTTTGTCATGAAATTTAACGTCTCTGTGAAATTTTTGAAGCCCTATTTCTCTATGGGAATTTACTAATTAAGCGGTTTATATTATTTAAGTTATGGGCAATTTATTCTAAAAGGTGAATTTGGGGATGGGGTAAGCTAAGAGGGGCCTATGGAGAGTTTGGAAATAGAGTGTGGGAGGAGGGTGGTGAATTTCTGGATTGGTACATTGTGCAGCCTTCAATAAATGTAATGTTAGTCCTGTCCTGGCCCATTTCAGAAGCTTAGGGCTGGAGTGGGGGCAAAACATAAAACTTCCACCTCACCAGGGGGAGTAAATACCAAGGTAGAGGTTACCTGAATGATGCAATGGGATTTTCTTCCAGCCCAAGGCTTGCATTGTCTCAAACATTTTCTGTTAAACCTAATGACCAAGGTCAAGGTCAGGCACGGGCACTCTAGGAGGTCAAGGCAGGAGGACTGCTGGAGCTCAAGAAGTGAAGATCAGCCTGAGCAAGAGCAAGACCCTGTGTCTACTTCAAGTGAAACATTCGTGGGGCATGGTGGTGGGTCCCTGTAACTCCAACTACTCAGGAAGCTGAGGCAGGAGGATCACTTGATCCCAGGAGTTTGAGGTTATTGTAAGCTGAATTGATGCCATGTCATTCTATCCTGGGACAACAGAGTGAGACTGTCTGGGAAAAAAAAAATGCCTAACAGCTGAAAGAGGACTAAAATTGGCCAGAAAGGGTCTCAGAGAGCAGGGAAGGGGAGCTCTCAGTATCTCTCTCCACCCTAGGCGAGCTCTGGCAACCCGCTGACCCCACAATCTCCACTGTTCTCTTGTAAGAACAAGGAGCTCTCAGATGATGGCATTCTGCAATGCTGTGGGTGTGACTGCTCTGCTACACAAAGTTGCACCGGCCTGGGAGCCTCTGCTCCTCCATTCTCTCTTTCATTGTGGCTGGACGGACAAGCCGAGACAGGACATACTGACTGCCACAGGCCGGACCATCCTGTTCTTTCTCTTTCTGCCTGTGAACAGCATGTTGCATCTTGCAGCAAGAACCTTCAACTGAGTGGCCGGGAGGAGTTAAAATTGGGATTTAGGGATAATCAAGAATTCCTCTTTGGGCCTTTCCCCAAAGTTTTGAGTTTCATCCCAATTTCATCTGAGAACATGTCACTAATTATGGTCACCAGGTAATAAAAACAGTGCCTTAATTATTTTTTTTATTTCAGGTTAATGTGAGGGTACAAACAACTAGGGCATAGTATTTGTGTTTATCAGTATAGTCCTGCTTATAGTTGTGTCCCTCACCCCACACCTTCATTTTTAATTGATACTCTTCCTTGCCTGAATATCTCCCTTGGGAATCTCATAAAGAATAGTTGTTATTAGCAGACCAGGATGTGGGGATTTGGGGATTCTCAGCTGATAAGTGACCAAGTCCTGGGTTGCCTGTGACTCAAGGGTTTCCTGGTACACACAACACTCAGTGCTAAAACCAGGAAAGTCCTTGACAAGCTAGGATGAGTTGATTCCTGTAGCTGAAATGCCATCTTAAGGCCGTTAAACCCCACATGTAATTTAAATCCTACTGCCCATGCAACTTTGGATATGTTGCTGCTTCTTAGGCAAATTCTAGGCCTTAACTTCCTCACTGTAGAAGGGTTTGTGAATAACTAGAATTCCTTGGCACATTTTCTGGTTCATAGTAGACGCCCTATGTTATGTGTATTATGTTGTCTTTTGGGGGGACAGCAGAATAAAAATGTTATTCTGAGAAGAAAACACAAAATCGGAGGAGTTGAGTTACTTTTCTGAGTGGAAGAATTATAGTTTTCTGAGACTCCTTTCCATCCCAATGTTAAGCCCCATTGAGAATAAACAATGGAATAGTGAATGTATCCCATTCCTGGAATAAACCAGGGCCCCACAAGGGCCATGAATTGGTGAAGTGGGATGAATGGACTTACGGCAAAGCTGGCAAAGCTGTACCCAGAGCAGGAGGCACCCACCCAGCCCTCACAGATTGTGGCCATGTGAAAAAGAGGGCCCAGCATGCCAGATCTTACCAGCTTTTTCTAAAGAAGTCATATGTATGATTTTTTAAGTAAAATATACTGCTTTACTATGCTGGCATTAAGTTCAAACTTTTAAAAACAATGTATAAGCCAATTAAAACAATCCATGGGCCTTTGACCCTATTGTTAATTTTCTTTATTAGGTAAGGGAGTGAGATGGATGTCATAAGACAGCTGAGGAGAGTTTATGGCACTCAGAATAATTGAGATAAAAGGAAACCAAAGTAATTCAATGATGATCCAAAAGAAAGAAAGAGAGGAGAGGAGGGGAGAGGAGGGGAGGAGAAGAAGAGAGGAAGAGAAGAGAAGAGAAGAGAAGAGAAGAGAAGAGAAGAGAAGAGAAGAGAAGAGAAGAGAAGAGGAGAGAGGAAGGGCCCCAGATTTGAATTTGTATCATCTTACAAATTTCACAACTCAAGACTAAACCTGCAGGGTTGCAAAATTATAAAGGTAGAACCTGCTAGCAAAATTCTGTGAAATGTTTGCAAGCGTTAGCTGACAGGTTTCAAAACAGTCTGAATATTAGTCATCACAAATCTGCCTGCCAAAAAGGGTAATGAGTTAGAGGAACATTCACAGTGCACATAAATACCTTCTGCTAAGTTAAACTCAGAGAGGAAATCAACTCCAAAGTTGCACAAGGCAAAGAAGCTGATGCAGCAGAGCTTCCTATCAAGTGGTTGACGGACTATCTTCGATGGTGAAACTGTTTATTGAGGAGATAGTTAGCTCTCAACAATATTACCTGTTTTACCTCTAGCTTTTAGGGATAAAGATCTTTTCAGGATAAATTTGTGTCCTACCTACTCAGTGAGGTAACACTGTATAAGTTGAATACTAATTCTGTCCAATGTGGATACCAGGTGATCGATATTCCTACTTTACAGTAATATAGTGGAGCAATGGAAAACCTCACTTAACCCCAGGATGTATTTAATTGCATTAGAGGATCAAATGCTAAAGCCCAACAGGCCATGACATTTGTTAAAAAGAACTAGAGCCCCTGGCGTGCTGTCTACTTCAAAAAGCATAAAAATATGAATTCAGGCAGAATCAACCTACTAAGAAGAGAATGCTCTGAAGAACCATCACTCTTGTGGTCGGGGCCCTATCTTGGTGGATCTTTCATTGCTGGTGGCAGAACCATTTCTCAGTGTTTAGCCACAGGACAACAGAAGTTGTGATCTGCTGCCGATTTCCGAGGGTCCTGTGTGTCTGGCCAGAGCTCTGCAGAGAGAGAAATCCGTTTGTGGCCTTGCTGAGGATGGCTGTGTGGCTCCTTCTGTCAAAGATACGTGTTTCATTTCTTTTCTTTTTTGACTCAACATACCCAAACAGCACAGCTGTAGAGGTAGGGATAAAATTTTATTTTTGTCTTTTACCTTCATTTTTTTTTTGTTAAAAGAAAAACAATTAATTCTGTGTTTAAATGCTGCTCTGTGACTACCAATTATATATAGCCAAACAGAGAGTCATAGGCTCAATTCTTCTCAACTTACAAAAAAGGCAAACCCCCCCTCCCCCGTGCAATCATTGTAAGTCAAAGCAGAGCTATCAATCCTCACCATGTTGGCAGGCTTTCGTTGGCCAGGAAAGACCTCTCCTATGGGTGAGGTTATCAGCTGGGAACTGGCTTTTTGTACTTGGAGAATGTTGCTGATGTAAGGCAAGTTTTCTGTTTGTTTTTAATCTACAACTCGCCAGTTATGGAGCTTAAGAAGACTTGTTTGAAAAAATTAAGACCCCGCCTCCATATCATACGATCATTGCTTGCAGATTTTACCAATACGAAAGATATTCTCTTGGAATGAATCATTTAAAGACATTAAGAGTCGGTGATGAAACCACACTCCGGAGTTTGAAAAGAGACAGGGCTGCTTTAAGAGAGAAACAGGAAGTTGTAACTAGAAGCCATCTGAATACTAAGCCTGAGCAGAATGCTGGCGAAGTAGCACTAAAGTGGCAGGGTTTGTTCTGAAATTCTCAGTAGCCGAGTGTCTTAGGCAGATCTTGACAAAATAGCCCTTATTCTGGTTTTTATCTAAGGAATCCCAAGAAGACCGGAGAATGGAGAGACAGGGAAGGCTCACATCAGTGAAGGCTGAGTATCAGTTTCAACATCAGGGAGCCGTGGAGCTGCTTGTCTTTAATTTCTTGCTCATCCTTACCATTTTGACAATCTGGTTATTTAAAAATCATCGATTCCGCTTCTTGCATGAAACTGGAGGAGCGATGGTGTATGGTGAGTGCATAAATTGTGGGACTGATGTGAAACTTGTTGCTTGAGCGTAATTAGAGACTTGTGCTCAGATGGCAAAGTACCGAAACTGGAGAAAATGTGCTGATTGAAATGTCATTAGCTTGATGAAAGGTGCTGCAGCGTAATGAAGGCTAATCTCTTTCCAGAGGAGCTGCCGAAATTTGCCTTGTCACAAGAGCAAATGTCCTAGTCATGTTCTCACGCCACATAATGCCAGACTGTTGACAGATGGGGGGCAGATCCATTGTCATGCGGGGAGTCACAGGCGAGCTGTTTGTTTTTGTAATGATATTGGGAAGTGATGGCTCCGCAGTCACAAAGAGCATCCTTCTTTCACTGGCAGCACGGTGAGCATTATAAAGTTCTAGAAATAACATCGCTTAAAAATGCCCGGAGTAAATCCTCTTACATCAACTAATTTGAAGAAGAAAACTTGCAGAAATAGACTCCACCCTTTCTATGGGAATAATTAGGCTTAAGTCCCTTTTAATTATATAAATAATGTTTTACCTTCTTATAATTGTTGTAAATAAACAAGAGTTTCTTTATACAGCACTTTTCATTTCTTAGCCTGATTTCAGATGTTCTGATTTATAATATTTAGCAGTAGTATTTGCTATGTCTCTTTTATTAATTTATTTTTTGAAATCCCAGGTGCAGAAAAACATTTGTTTAATTCCACAGGCATGCTCCTTTTGTGCCATTTGCCATGTCATCCTTTTCAGAAAGTTTAATAAAGTATGACAGAGATTATCTACTCTGTACTCTCATCTTTTTTTTTTTGAGACAGAGTGTTACTCTGTTGCCCCAGGCTAGAGTGCAGTGGAGTCAGCCTAGCACACAGCAACCTCAAACTTCTGTTCAAGTGATCCTCCCTCAGCCTTCCTAGTTGCTGGGTCTACAGATGCCACAATGCCTGGTTAATTTTTCTACTTTTTAGTAGTCTCCAACTCCTAAGCTCAAGTGATCCTCCTGCCTCGGCCTCTCAGAAGGCTAAGATTATAGACGTGAGCCACCACATCCCAGCCTGTACTCTCATATTTTAAAGCAAGGCATTGGTAGATTTATTTTATTTTATTTTATCATAACTGTGTACATTTATGGAGTACAACGTGCTGGTTTAGTATACAATGTGGAACACGAGTAGATTTATAACTGATCCTATCAATCAAATAGTTTGCTTCACCACTTTTATTATGGCCTGATAGTGGAGGGGAATTTTGAACACAGTGGAAACAGGTAAGACATTGCTGTAAGTCATTGCAAAGACCATAGCTTTACATCTGGGCTTTTCTCACTTTGGAAGTCCTGAAGACCTTTTACATGCCTGAGGTTCAGGAACAGGATCAAGGCACATTTTATATGCTCACTGTGTGATGTTCTTATGTTAACAAAGTAAAGTCATGATTTGAGAATGTAAGAAATCCTGTGCCTTCCCTGGATCCCACTGCGAGACACTATAAGGCAAAAGTTTCAGGCTGAGCCATGGAGGCTGAGGCTCTGATCCATTCATAGCGCAGAGTTAAATTTCTTTTTATTGAGGGTCTCACTGTCATTTAAGGAGGAAACATTACAATTAGGTGACGGAGAAATAGAGAAACAAACAAACAAAAAAGACCTGGTGGTATCAGCTGTGGGGAAGCCCTGAGGGGCGGATCACGTACCCATCTCCATCATCAATTGACCCGGTCTTGCTCTTGACTTACTAATAAATAACCAGCAGCAGTGTGGGATGTAATCTGAGAAGCTAGACTAAATGTAGTTCTTAGCATCATCTTAAGGGCTCTCTATGCTTCAGCAAAACAACACAGACTCGCCTTAATTAGAGATAAAGATTTCTTCATAGTCTTGAATTTGATTGAACTTAGAACTCATTTACTAATTCTAGTTTATCTATGATGAGAATATTGTTTGGCCAAACTTTTAAGGTTTTGATGAAAATTCAGATGTGCATTGTATTCACAGCTCATAAAGTAACTTTTACTTTTGAACCTAAAAAACTCCTGATCACCCTTAGCCCTCAAAATCTCTTAAATTGCACTTGAAATTATAAAATGTTAGTGCATTGCCCGCTATTGTTGAGATGGCATTTCTGCAAGTTGCTATGCTTAAGGCAGTTCAGGGTTAAAGTTTATAAGAGTGGAGTTAAATTGTACTGCAACCTTTCTGTCTTTTCATGAGTTTCTTTATGTGAAAGGTATTGAAAGTGAGATCTGAAGCAGTGCAATGTAAAAGGGTTATGAAAATGATGGCATATCATATATATGTATAACTCTTCCATGACTAGAATCCCAGTATATTTGAGTTATCTGGAACCATAGAAGTCAATGAAAAAATCTGACAGTGCTGCTTCCTTTTTGTTAGCATAAAATTATAATTGATGGAATTTGAGGAAATATTTGAGGTTATCTTCTCTAGCTCCACTTTTACAGAGGACAAAAATGAATTTCACAGAGGTGAAGTGATTAGCTACTCGTGGCAGGGCCCACGTGCTGAATAGCTACTCATGGCAGGGTCCACTTTCAGAGAAGTGAAGTGATTAGCTACTCATGGCAGGGCCCACGTGCTTTCACTCATCCACCTGTCTTAATAAGGTCCATGTTGATCTTAACACACCTCTCGCTGATATTCTCTGCAGTCGTTCAGATGGGTGGCATTCGTGACTTCTCATGTTCCTTCCTCAGGTATGATCTAAATATTATATCGGAAACATCTATTAGGGACTTTTGGTTAGTGATGTAATAAAATAGTCTGAAACTGAAGACAGGAACAAGAAGAGACACCCTAATAAACGCTTTTTAATGATAAGGGGAAAGGAAATGCCAAGTGAATTAATTCGCCAACAGCTATAAAGGAACTTAGAATTCATAGGTCGAGAAGGAGACTTAAAGATCATAAACCCAATATCCTCATTTTGCAGACAAAGAAATGAAGACTTCAATTGGTGGAGGTCTTGCAGTTAGTTAGCTGCTGAGCTGGGATTCAACCTCCACCTTTTTACAAAACAAATTCTTTCAGCGATCTTCTGGAGAGAGGATGTGTCTGTAGGATCCGGATATATCCTCATGCTGTTTAAACTTTCAGGATTAGTCAAACTCTCTTTTCCTAGAAGCCCAAGACAGTGACATTTCAGCATAAAATTACATGTAGTACAAATGCCTTTATTCATCAGAGAATTAAACTTGGCTTTTGCAGGAGTTCTGCTGGGGGGCATAGTGATAACTAATGAGAAAGAGAAGAAACAAAACTACATTTTGAACATCTTTTAAAGTTTCTTTAGTTTAAACAGATGAGCATTTCCGAGTAGACTATAACTTAGTCATCTCCATGCTACAGAAAGATACACTTGTAACAAAACATCTAGGAGTTAAATGACCCTGCACCTGAAGCTTCTCAATGCATTAGGCTAACAGTTCCCTACTGCCCTGAGTACTGACCTTGCTCTCATTTGTACAAAACGTCAGTGACTCCTGCATTAAGAATCCTAAATCTTTTTCTTAAGCACCAAATTTCCTGTAATATCTCAGCCCTGTCCACCATCTGCTTTTCTACAAGTGTTCTGTTGGCAACTTATCAAATGTCTTTTAGAAGGCTCGATAGGTCATACGTTTTATCAGCATACCTAGGAATCCAGTTTAAGAATTCTAGGGATCAGAATCCTAGCAAATGAGCTCTTAAGAGTAAAATGAGGGGAGAAATGATCAAGCAGAATGTTAACCTGATCTTTTATAGTTATTGTAGTTGTTATTAGATCCATTTCTAAGTTGTTAAACTTAAAATATACGAAGAGGTGTAGAGACCATGAAAAGTCATGTGTGGTGTCCGGCTTGCCTCTGTGTTGAGTGGAGATAAATATGATATTCCAAGCAGTACAAAATAATCCATTATGTGAAAAATATCTTTTCCCTTGTAACGAGGGTCATAGGATGCTTTTAAAAATCAGTGGCAGCATTATAAGAATATCTTTACTTCACCAAGAACAGTAATAGGTAATAGGATAATTGTCTCTGATGATATTCCAAGGCTCTCATCATTTTAAAATGGAGGTATTGGAATCCATAACTGGTTTAAAATATAAGCCATGGAGATATTCATTTAAATTGTACTGAAAGCTTAGATGACTATTAATGGTCGAAATATTGATTGACAGCAGCTGGTGCACTTAGCGCTGCTCACTGAGGACCTTGTATCCCCTGCTCAATGCTCATAGGAGAACTTTGCTCCTTGCTCCCCAACAGCATTAAGAATTCCATTCCATATCGCTGGGGGTGGCCTCACTCTGCAGTACATTTATAAGCCGTGCATCTGAGACTGGGGAAAGAACAATTGAAACCTTTTACAAGTCCACCTTTGATTTCCTGGCCCTTTTATGTAAGGGACAGTCTTTGAATTCAGGCAGAAATTTTGCTCACTGTTTAGTGGGCACAAAAGAAATTTCAAGCCACACAGTTTAGATTGAATTCATTAACCTATGCCACGTGAAAGTATTTTCTGATCTTTTAGGAGTCTACTTAGCCATTCAACGGGGCCCATTTAATTCACTAAACAGCAGGTTTTTCAAGATTTAAAGAAAATATAGTTACATAATGGATCCCCAAAGTTTTAGAAAGAGCTTTCCTGGAAAAAAAAAGAAATCTCCCTAGTTTAACGGTAGCACTCCTGGGAGGTTTTTTGGAGAAAAAGGTGGGTTGGTGAGCATGATGAGGCGCCCCCTCGCTGACCCAGCTGTACCCTGCTCAGGCCAGCCCTGCCTCCCAGAGGAGAAGCTGCCTTCACTCCACCTCCTTGCCTCCACCTGGACTGCAGAGGTTCTTTCCTTAATACACATGGCGTGCTCATGTAAGGAAACGTTGACTTTCTCTCCTGGGGATCTGAGGTTTTTAACATGATGGACTGTTTTCTTGGTAGTTCGAGTCATTATTTTGGGCAAGTAGCTTAACCTTTGTTCTTACTTTTCTCATCTATGAAACGGGGAAGAAATA